AATCTGCAGGTTGCAGTCCCCACCCTAGGACTGCAACCAGAGTCTTGAATCAGCTGCAGTGTGGTCCTGAGACTGAGACAGACAGCAAGCTGATGGTTGGTCCCAGCCATTGGACTGCGTTGGTTCACCCTGGGATGCAGGCACTTGGCTTGCAATATGCTGGTATAGAGGGAGCCCAAAATTATGATCCCAGACTCTCTGTGCACAGGCAGGTATCAATAGCATGATTAGGATCTGACCCCCAATCCCAAAATTGCATATCCTGCCAGGTACCTGTGTCATTTGGCAGTTGTTGAGAGTGGGGATCAGATCCCATTGAGTCATTAAATGAACATGTTCCAGGGGCCCTAGAAATGACCTCCTCACTTTGTGGAATCAGTACTTTGGTCCTGACAGATTTCAACAGTCTTTGCTGAAGCAGTCATCCCTTAAGCTTATAGTTGAAGATCATGTCACTTTGTTTAAATAAGCAGAAAAAGAGGTGTGCTGAAATAAGTCTGCAGTTAGCAAATGCGAGCAACATTCCAGCAGTGTGTAATACCCATTATTTGAGCCCTCCTTAAAGTAACTTACTTTAACTGAACAAGTCAATGTGGTATTTTTATCACAGTTTGTGCACAAATTCTTTGGCATTGTGACAGTTGAAAACCAGTGGTCTAAATGCTTTTCTCTGGTAGATCAGTTGGGATTGTTAAATACCCTAAAAAATGAGCCTTGCCTAAAACTGGCTTCACAAATCCAGTAATAGCTTCTTCCTTGTCAATCCTGCGGTTTGTTTTGTTGTCTTCCTTGGGTGTCCTTAATTGTCCTTTGCTGTCTTCGTGAACATAGAGTGCCACCCTCCCTTCTCTTGGGATCAAAGTTCAGTCATTGAGCTGCTTCAGTCTTGCCACCCCCCATCCCCTTCCCTTCACCCCCAAGATCTTGAGTGTACCTCTAGCCATACTACTTCTGACCCACACCTGGAAAAACGTCAAAAATGATTCAGTTCTTGACATTCATGCCAGGTAACTAAAAGTTTTAAGTCTATATTCTTTAGTCTCATCTCCTTTTGGTAGAAATCCTTTGGCCACCCCTTCAAATGTGCTAGAACACCAGGTAGATATTTCCACCAAAATGAGCAGCTGACTGTTTTGCATCTTCTCTGGTCTTAACCCTCTACCCATGATACAAAGGGATGCCATATCTTACAGCTACTTTCCTCAGGCTTTCTGCAGTGTTGGGAAGGTAACCTTGCAGACAATTGATTGCAGAGCAACTGTCAAAACTGTAAGGGCTACAAATTCACTTCTTTAGATTCCACAGCAAGAGTCATTTTATGTCTAATTCTAACTAAAATCGTGGAAAACTCAAACATAAGTACTGACTCTTTTTAAAATGATTTATGTTAGATGTGTCACAGGCCAGCTGGGCACTGCGAGTATATCAATTTAGTTGCAGACTGAGCACTGCAACTTTATTAGCCACTGGGCTATTTGGTTCGGGATTGAGAAGGTGATGTTGGAAAGGAAAGAAATGACAAGTTTCACTTACAAAAAAGAATGAATTTTACTTATGACAACAAAAGATATAGTTTGCATATATAATAGTTAATAAAAAGGTTAAGTTAATAAGCAGATAACATAACAATACAGACTAAAATTGACAGTGATAATAAAACAGATAAAGAAATTAACCAAGAGTTCCCACTTGGTTAATAACTTATCGGTAGTTCCTCGGTTAGAAGATGCACGGCAAGTTGAATCAGCGAAGTCAGACGTCTCTGAACTGGGCTGCTCAAAGGATACCGGTGGAAGCCCCTCAGTCAGGATCTGGTCTCACTCTCACAGGGAGTAAGAGATATCCGTGGGGTATGGAACAGCAATGACCCTTCTGTTTTGTCCTTCCTGAAGATTACTATGACGTGTGTGTTCTTTTATACTCTAATTATGCTAATTTTTTAGTTTTACAGCCATTCATAATATTGCTTTATAGCTATTATCCTATGGGGTTAAAAGGTGTTAGAAATTATTATAATGAGTTACTGCCCAAGCTGGGGTTTATCCAATAAGCAAATTATGACACAACATCTTCAGGTTTAAAATTAACATTATCCTGCCTAAATCCAGCTCCTTCCAAACTCTGACAATGCTTTTTTGAGCTGTTCTTTTTGAAATGTACTAGATAAGCTGGGCAGTTGAATCCAGTTTTTATCATTATCAAGGCTAAATTTTGAGTGAAAAAGAACTATTAGGTCAGCTAATTTCACAGCTAGAGCTTTGTCTTTGAGGCCTAGTCAGTTCCACAAACAGTTACAAGTTACATTTGCAGGTTACAAAAGATACAAGCTGCATATTAGACAAAAGTTCCAAATGCCTCCAAGAAGCGCACATTTATTGCTTATTAATTTCTTTGGTTCTGGCCATCACATAGATGTGATCCAGATATCTAAATGGCATTCGTTAATTCGTTAATTGACCAACACATTCTTCCTATAGCTGTGTTAAGTGTGGCTGTTGGCAGCACGAAGTCCAAGCAAACAGTGCCCTTTCTTGTGCCACAATTGCCCAAAATTGTGAGCATGACAACAGGTAGTAAAACTTATGTAGCTTTTTTGTAGTGGATGTCTGTTGACTTTGAGAGAAGAGCACAGGCAGCCCGTAGCTGCTTCTCTGGTCACTTCAGAAGGCTAATCCTGTGCATTTCAGGAATTCCCCTGCAAGGGTGTTCCTGGGGCATGCAGGATCAGGCTTCTGAAGCCCTAGGAGTGCTTGTCTGGGTTCTCTGCATACAGAGGTACACCCTGGGGGTCCCCTGGTTAGGTTGTGGCAGTGCAATATGCATGTCTGGGAAAAACCCCAACTCAGGGCATGTCTTTGCAAATGGGAGAACCCTGTGGTTCCTCTACTTGCAGATGCGTTCCTTGAGTTGGCTCCTTCGTTCCTCGGTTGTCCTGCAGGATCGGACCCCTAAAGCCCTGGGAGCAGCGAGGGCTCTCATCTGCAGGACAACAGGCAATGTCTTTGTTGTCCAGTGAAGTGGATCAGCTGTGCAGGATCACATCTGGGAACAACTGATCCAACTCCAAGGATGACGTCTGTTTATAACCAGAGTATCGTGCTTGAGTAGTCTGTGACTTACCTTTCAGTAACATTTTGAAATCTCATGTGGGTTGTTCTTGGCTTCTGTGGTTTCCTGTCTTTGAGGTGGAGAGGCATGTGTGCAACTGACAGAGGAAAGGTCTGTCTTCATAAATGTATCTGTTAGTATGTAATTGTTGTAGATGCTTGAGGCAGACTAGCCCTTGATTCTATTCCAGAATCTTAGCATAAACCCTTATTTATGAATTCCATTGCATCTGAGGAGCTTTTTCAATTTTTCCCATCAACCTGGAACCTTTTAGGTGATCTTTTAAATAAGTTAGCGTTCTGATGAGGTGGAATGAAATTGCTGCTTGGTTGTGGGGAGAAGGCAGGCCACCTTACACACTATTTTCCCCATGGAGAGTAATGGAAAAGAGAATTTCTGTCAGCAGTCCCTTGGTGAATGGGAGTTCCCTTTTATTACTTCTCTACTGAGGGAAGAGGGGTAGCATTTTATTTAACAGGGTAATATTCTTATCCATCTTATCCTGTCTTGTTGCTACTTAACTAAAACCTCTCTGCCTCTGTGACTGGCTGATGCTAAGCTGCAAATGATTGGGGTTAGGCAGGTGTATTGGTGGGGAAAAAATCCTTTGTTTCCACTAGCAAAGGAAGTGGAAAGGAAGGGAAGGGACTCCTACAGAGCTAAAAATGCAACCTAGGCTGACATTTCTGTGGAGGAAAGGTTTTCCCCATGGAAGACTTGAGGATTTTATGTATTTATGGGGTA